ATACAAAAAAGCCAACTCAAAGGTCTTTTGGTAGGTTCATTGCTTAAGTAGATAATCCATAGAAGCAATCAACAAACCTCAAATTAAATGCAATAAAGTTGGAAATATAGAGTCATATTAAGAGTGTATTATAATTCATTTAAAAAAAATGCGATAACAAAGTGGCCTACCTCTAAGAGATTTTAAAGCACCAGCACAAAATTTATAAAAAATATGATAAGACCTTTCACTAGGTGCATTGGACAACTCTTGACAGCCTAACGTGCAAATAATTATGTAACTTCTAGATATAAAATTTTAAATACACACTAGATAGTTGTTATCATGGACAAGGGGGAGGTAGAAGAGGAGAGGAATCAAATGAATTTCTCTTGTGATAATCTTATTACCTCAAAGAAGATATGAAACAACATAAAGGTTTGGGTCCAATTAAATTAATTCCAAGGAGTAGAAGGATGTAGGGTGAGATGAAGGAAAACTTGGGGATTTCTTCCCCTAATTTTCAATGAATTATTCCATTGGCTTTTGAAATTTTAGGGGAGCAAAAAAATGTAAAGCTTCCCTTTACTTGAAAGAATTTACTAAGGAGTATGGGTTTTCTTTTTTGTGTTGCTTGAAACTAAGTTAACTTTAATTCAAAGAAGGGATGTTAATCTTATGATTGGGATGTCATGGGATTTCTTTTATGTTCCATCGGATGGATTATTTGGTGGCATCATGGTGCTCTGGAATAAAGATATTGCTTCATTCAAAGTGATTGAATCCTCTAATCAATTTGTGATTGTAGAATTAGAAGTTCCTAATATTGGGAAATGGAAAATTGCAACAGCGTATGGAAGCAGGGACAACTATAGAAGAAGAACTCTTTGGGAAATGTTGGAGCTGCATATGTCGAAAGGAATATCCCATGGTAGTTGGTGGTGACTTCAATTGCTTGCTTTCTAGAGAAGATAAAAAGGGAGGAAGGGAGTTTACTTATTCAATCGGTCCTAAGGAGATGAAGGAATTTATCACTTGCAATGATCTACATGAAGTTGACAGTATTGGACCCAAGTTTATTTGGTGTAACAACAAGAAGGGAGCTGAAAAAATCTTTGAAAAATTGGATAGGTGTGTTCTTAATTCAGCAGCCATTAAATCATCTCATAGGCTAGTTGTGAGGCATTTGAGGAGAATTGATTCGGAATATAGTCTTGTTTTGCTGAATTTATTAAAATTCAATAAATCAAGTGCTAAACAAATTAAATTTGAGGAGATTTGGGCTTCAATTCTAGCATCCATGGGTATTGTGAAGAAGGCGTGGGGGAGGAAAGCTAGGGGGGATCCTCCTCACATCTTGAACCAAAAATTGTGTAGAGCTCTTAAAGATTTGTTCTATTGAAGTAAAGCCAAATACAAGGAATTGAATCAATCAAAAGAGGAGCTGAAAATTTAGATATTAAATCTTCAAACCAAAGAAGCTGAATGCGGTTATTTAAATGAAGATGAAGCTTGGGAACTAAAGGTGAAAACTGACAGCCTGAATTCAACCTTAGCCCGAATTTGCACATGGTGGAGGCAGCGTGCAAAAGTCAAATGGGTGAAGGAAGGAGATGCTAATATGAGTTTTTTTCATGCATATGCTAGTGTAAGAAGGAATATGAATTTTATTCATAAGATCAAGGATGAAAATGGGTTGATAGTAGAAGATCAAAACCAGGTGGAAATCATCCTCAACAATTACTTCAAAAATAAATGGAATAAGAGGGAATGCTCTTTGATGGGTTGGCTGGAACCGTGGAGGACATTAGAAGATGGGGATTCTTATGCTTTAAACAGAGAATTCACTTTTAATGAAATGGAGGAGGTCATTCATGATCTTGGTGGAAACATAGCTCTGGGCAAAGATGGAATTTCATATTCCTTTATCAAAACGTATTGGTCTATCATTAGAATAGACATTTGGAATGGCTTGGATGATTTCTTTAAAACTGAAAAAATGTGTGAAGAATGGAAGAAACCTATCATTGTTTTGATCCCTAAGGTAAAAAGTCCTCTCTCTCCCTCTAACTTTAGACCTATCAGTTTATGTATATCAATTTACAAGATTGCAGCATAAATGATCTTGAAAAGGCTTTTAATTGACATTCACAAACTCAGTTCGGTGGAGCAAGCGGCATTCCTGAAAGGTTGATATTTATCAGACAATGTTTTGGTGGCTCATGCAATCTTCCACAAATTTAGGTATTCTAAATCTTCCAAAGGTTTAGTTTCTTTTAAAATAGATATGGTGCAAGCCTATGATTCTATGGGTTGTCCAACCTTATGCAAAGCTTTGGATTAATTTGGTTTTCCATCTGGTTTTTCAAATCTTCTTATGGAATATGTTTTCAACCCTTATTTTTCCTTATCTATAAATGGAAAATTATCCAATTGGATAGAAGCAAGAAGTGGATTTCACCCAGGATGTCCATTATCCCCATTTTTATTCATTTTATGTGCTCAATTATTGTCAAATGCATTTTATCAAAAGAAGGATTCAATTGGCAAACAAAATTCTCAAAATGGGCCTTTGATTTCACACCTTCTTTATGTCGATGACATCATGGTTTTCTAAATGCTAGTATGAAGATGATCAAGGAGTTTATAAATATTATCAACAAATTTTGTAGCTGGACGGGCCAAAGTGTGAATCAAAATAAATCTGGATTGATGTTTGGAAAATAAGTAAAGTCAAGGAGGAGGAGGAAAATTGCTAGAGCAATGGACCTCAAGGAGATTAAGGAATTTTCATACTTAGGAATCAAGATGGCGTTAAGAAGACTTTGCAAGACTGATTTCCTTTTTCAGTTGGAGAAAGTTTGGAGCATGTTAAATATTTGGGGAGGGAAATTCATTTCCTTGGCCGGTCGGTTGACACTAGTCAAGTCTGTTTTGCTTTCCTTCCCAATATTTCACTCTTCCCTTTCCTTGGTTCCCATAAGTATTTTGTATGAAATTGATAAACATTGCAGAAATTTTATTTAGAGTAAATGTGATGGGAGAAAAGGCATCCACTATGTTAATTGGGAAAGTTTATGCAGGCCGATCTCAGAGGGAGGTAGAAGATTGGTGCCAACTGTGAAGAAAGCTGGACCTCTTAAAGCTAAACTAGCATGGAAGTATTTTCAAGACAAAGATGCATTAGTGCATAAGCTCCTTGTACCTAAATATGGTAATGTTATGAACAGTAATTCTTCAATGAATTCTGGATCAATTGCTTGGAAATTGCTTAAAACTGGGGAAAAATTCCTAAAACCGATTACCAAGTGGAGGATTGTCAATGGAAGTTTTGTTAATGTATTTAAAGACACCTGGATCTTGAATAGAAATCTGAAAAAAATTGACAACATTTGTACAAGCTAAGGAAGATTATGATTTCACAGTGGACAATCTAATTTCCAATGGGAGATTGGACATAGCAAAGTTAGCTGATATGTGTGGCTCGGAGCTTGTAAAATTGATTAGAGAGGTTCAAATTTCGAATGAACATGGAGATGATAAGCTGAAATTAATCTAGTTTGCTACACGAAAAAGAATAACTGCTTTGGCTATGGAAATTTCTGAAGAAAATCCAAGTGATTCCTCTAAATGGGATTGTCTCAAAAAAAAGTAAGCTAAGTTCTAAAGTTGAGAACTTTTGGTCGAGAATACTTCATAAAGCCATTCCAACAAATCATTTACTTTTTTATAGAAGGCTCATAGATTATGAGAAATTCCCATGGGGATGTGAACAAATTGAAGACAATGTTCACATTATTTCGGAATGTGATAAGTTAAATGAGGCAATCCATATATTGAATAAATGGGGTTTTGGTATCCCTACTTTCATTTATTTTGAAAATTGTTTCAAATGGCTTCAAAGCAAGGATTTTTTGTTGATCAATCTTAATTGTAATTTGGTTTATCTATCTTGGAGAGCTAGGAATGAACTTGTGCATGAAGGCAAACGTTCAAGCTCTTGGTTGTTAGCCACTAATGTTGTAAGCTATGCCTCATTGTCAAGGAATTTGAATAAAAGTTGCTCGGGTATCGGGGCTGCTAACCAACTGTTTGGGTTGATCAATGAAATTTGGCACCCACCCTCTACCTGATTGGGTAAAAGTTAATGTTGATGCTTCTCTATTTACTTCCTACAAGGCCGAGGTTTGAGGAGTATTTCGGGACCATAGAGGAAGATATTTAATGGCTTTTGGCAAAAAATTGATGCATTGGGATATCTCTTATTTGGAGCTTCAATCTATTCTTTCTATCAAAGAAATCACTAGAGATTGGATGTATGCTTACAAAGGTATGATTATGGAAGGTGATAATCAAATTGTTATTAATTTCATTTATAGCATTATGAGGAAAGGTAGCAATGATTTGGGTGACCTTTCTTTTTTTAAAGATTTCAATTATATTATTTTTAATTGCATTAGTAGAAGTTGTAAAACGTTAGCGGACTTACGTGCTAACTATGCATGTTTTAGTTCTTTTATTTGGGAGGATTTAGAGGTGAATAAGATTCCTCACACTTTTACTAAAGTGTTAAAGGAGGAATCCATTGGCATTAGGTTGTAATTCGTTTATTTCTTCATTTTATAAAGCTTTTATTGCTTTTCTTCAACAACAACAAAAGATATAAAATTTTGAAAAAAAAAATATTTAGGCAGAAGAATGTACCTTCTTAAGTAAAACTGGCCCGAGTAGTAAACAATAACAAGACACAAAATGAAATAAACACAAAGTTTAGTCTACCAAAAGAAAATATTTTGGGAAACGCATTATCTGATTAAAAACATTTACAAGTTTGAATCTTTGCACCAGAAATCTTTCTATTTGGACTGAAATGAATTTCAATTAATTTTTCTTACATGAGTGTACAAAAAATTTTGCCAATGACAAAATAACAATAATAATATAGCATATTCAATGAGAAATTTGCGGCCTTCAAGAAGAAGTAGAAAAAAAAAAGAGATTTTTAAGTTGCTTAGTGATGATGAAGCCAAACACATCTTTCCTCATTTCTTAAAAATATTAGGAAGAATACAGAAGCTTACAAATCAACTAGAGTTATCATTTCTTGTTGTTTTTGAATTCCTAAAGACCTCAAGAATTGGATTTGTTTGAATAATTTCATATTCCATCCCAATACCTCCTCCAAGAGCAACCAAATATTACCTTGCAATATTTGTTGTTTCAATTTTGTACGCTCCACTCTCGCCACTAGAAAAAAAGGCCATACTTAGTACATTTGAGCCATCTAATTTAGTACAAGCAGATAAAGATAGATAAGCTTATAGTGGACAAAGAATGATAAGCTCCAATTTAAATTAAACTGCATTGCCAAAAAAGGTATGGTAATTACTAATGGTATCAACCTTAATTTGTTTATATGAATGCATACTAAAAAAGGCTTTCCATGAAAAAAAAAACCTAATTACAGAATACCCAAGAAAATATCCTACCAAAATTAAGAAAAGTGAAGGAAAAAAAGACACATGACAGTTGAGAAGTAATTGTTGAATGCTGTAAGACTGCTCTAATTGAAAAGGAATAGAATTGTATGGGGTATATGAAGAAGCTAATGAGATCACACCTTATATTTATGGATTGATTGACTTCATCTGAAAAATGAAAATCATGGCCAGAGGGGAAAAAAATAAAATTTCAATATAAGAGTGCACAAATTTACTATGTGAAAGATAACCTCTTATCATTTCATGTATTATTGTATCTGCAATAGCATAAACATGTGGACTATCTATAGATTTGTACTTATATTCCTCAATATAATCAATTCCATATAGTTGAAGTTCCTTAAATGGGTTGATGGCAACCAGCACAGGCCCGCTTTGGTATAAATGGTAAATACAAAAACTCGTCAAAACATTAGCATCTTAAATGAACAAAAATTAGGGGTAATTCCATGCTAATAAAATTCTAAAAAAGAAGTAGAAAAAGATACCCACATAAATCATGTCTCGATCATATATGTATTGTAAGTTGTAGAGTATCGATGGTTCATTTAAATAACTAAGTTGCATCAAATCATCTACCCCATCAAGTATTTCAGGGTTTGAGGGTAAAATGCTCTCTATTTTCAACTTTAACACCTGAGGATGAAGTTTTAGGCTAAGTTAAAGACCGTTTTTAAGTAAACAATTAATATGCATTCCTCAACCAAAACATTGAATGATTACTTTCCCCTCTGGAAGATAAATAATTGACTCTGCCCCTGAAGTTGATAGTATCCTCCCTAGCATCCATTCACCGTTCGAAAGTTGGCACCAAGTATGAATCTTCTGTTACAAGATGAATTTTTTAATAAATCAACAATATGCTATCATATCTGTAAAATAAATCATACATATATCACAGTTAAAAAAATCATCCTAAATATTTTTTATGCATTGCTAATCAAATCCAAGTAGGGGATTAATCCAAGTATAACTATTAGAATCTGAATGAGAAAATCTCTAAATGTGTATGTATATATCAAATTAATTCAAAAATGCTAAGAATCTGCTAGTTATTAGGCCAAATAAAAATTAAAGGTAAGATGATACTGATAATTGAAAAAAAATGAGGAATGAAACATCAACACTGCTTAGCAAACAATGCGTGGGCAAAGACTTCCTTGTTTTAAAAGCTTTAACTAAAGCTCATGTCTGATTTTGTTCAATGTTTGTAATGGGAATTTTGCAGTGCATGTATAAACAAAGATAATCTCCCCTTTTTTGGCACTTGAGTGTTACAAGTTTCCAACTTTAGTTGTTCTATGTCTGAAAGAATTCAAAAAATAAAAAATCAGAAGAAAAAAAACACAATTATGAAAGTTAACTAGTAATGCTCCTGTTACATATATCTTAATGTATATGCAGAAAACTTTCTTTTTTATTATGCCAAAACTATCGTAAACATCGAATAGGACAAAGCTGATGAAATATTGTTACAAAATGATTTTTCTCCAATAATACGGTGATGGTTAGGCTGGTGATAAATAAGATAAACATATAATACCAATCAACAAAGATTTTAGTTATACGTTTGTTGTTTTCAACCAGTCACCAATACAATATGATGCACTAAGAAATGAAGAGCGAATAATGAAGATCTTTGACAAAAGACTCGATCATTGGATCCTATGAATTCTTAGCACATCCATCCTATGAATACATAGCACATCCATACCTAAACAGAATGGAAAAAAGAATATATACAGAGGGCTTACCTTCTTTAGACCAAAAGAGTTGGAATCACTCCATCTGGAATCAATACATGACAAGAAATTCTCCAAAAAACAAGAAGGACAAGATAATGATGAACTCTCATCATCTTACGAATTCCTCTCATCACTAACAGTGGAAATTGAACTATACGGCAATTTATCGTTCATCCTAATAAAGCCATCAACATCCTCCTCCACTGAGGCACACACATTAGCAACCTCCTCTTCCATGGACATTAAAATATTGCTTGTTTCTATGGTACCTCTGACATTGACATCATCTTTGCCTTTAGCAACAAGAGTGAGATTAAATGGTTCCGCTCTCTCCTCAAATAGAGATCCACCTGTGAATCTAAAGTCGCTCTGCAATAATTGCAAAGGCTGGAGACTAAGACCAGCTCGAGGCTTCTTATTGAGCCTATCCACTTACGGCCCCTTCATTGATTTCCCAAAGGTCCTCTGTAGAACAGGCTTCTTCTTCATGGTTGCCGAGCGTCGTCCTCTTCACTATCGTCTTCCTGTTTGCGATCACTGTATTTCTCAAGTATTTAAACCCTAGTTATACAAAACAGGATGGGACAGGAAAATGAGGGAAAAAAAGAAAAACCTCACCTGCCACCTATCCCTTGCCTCGAGCCACAAGAGATTTTTCCCAAAAGAAGCTCCAAGCTGTTATCGGCCTTCGGAAAGTCTCCGTCACGGGAATTCTTGTTCTTGGTCTTTATGGCCATGGTGGGCTTCTCTAAAAAAAAAAGAGAAAGTGACACTGCTGGGAAGACGGTGACTTTGGAATAGTGTGAGATAGGTATAGGCTCTGTAACGATCATATCAGCTTTAATCTCAGCAAGATAATAAAAAAACATTGAAAGAGTAAATGAATGGAGGGGTTGTGACTCGCATGCGTGTGACATGATATGTTGTGGCTTGTGAATTGGCTAGAGCCTGTCACATGCTTGAGATGAGCTGGTGGTTACCTAATTAATAAAATTTAAGTAGAAGTAAACTCACTAAAATTTTAACGGATTTAATGAAATGTGTTAAAATATTTAATCGATGTATTTTATGGAATGCACAAATATTTGAGGTGATCCTCATCTTTAATAATTAAATTATTTTGGGAAAGTATGATATGAGTAAGTAATAGTTAAGAAAAATGAATTAAGAGAGTACAAAATAATTAATTAGATATTTAGTTAAACAAATTAAGAACCGAATTAGATAGTAACAATTTTAAATTTATAAATATACTATCACCAAATTAATCTAATATTATCATAAAATATTTTAAATTATAGTATATTTCAAAATTAGGATTAGTTAAAAAATTAATAGTTTAATTAAACATTGAATAATATAATATTAATTCAAAAAATGACTAAATATTAAATATAAATTAATTTTAAATATTGTATAGTAATAATGACCACATAAAATGATTTAAAGTAATTTCACCTTCTTGTATATTTATTTGATTTAATTATGTACCATTTTATTTGTTTTATTTTTAGTTTAAATGTGATATTTTAGTTATTTTTATATAGGAAAATCTCAAAAATGATAGAAATTGTAAAAACCCCACAGCGCCACAGCACCCGACAAAATAACATAGTAGTAGTGCTAACTTCAACACCTATAAGCATCATAATTTTGGCATCGTAACTTAAAGTTCTATTTTCTAGCTCTATGGTTACAACTTTGTTGGTGTCGCCGCCAAGTTCTTTATTTTCTAATGTCGTAATACCAGAATCACTCACGCCTTAGTGCCATTTTTGCCGCTCTAGCACCACAACTCTCAAATGTCAGCAACATCATGGCATTACAATTGTAACTTTTAAGGCCCACTTTCTCTCAATAAACATACACAACTGTTTACTAAGTAATCGATCTATGTCAGCAAGTGCCATGGCGGTGCAAAAGTTTCAGCACCGAGGTGTTAGTTCACTTTAAGGGCACCACGGCGCTATGGGCTTCTTAAAATTTTTCTTCAGCTTTGACACTATACTCTATCACTTTATTACTTGATTTAATACGTAGACATGCATATATTAAATAGGGTTTTTTTATTTTTATATCAAAGAAAACCTAAGTATTGTTTAGGGGTGATAGAGCCCTAAATATTATACAATTCAAAACTTCACTCCAGTGCCCTTTATATATATATATGTAAGCGGCAACCTTGAGCTGAATGAAGAAAAATTTTGTTGTTTATCATGAGAAAATTTATTTCTATAACCTATAAATCACATATTTGTTTGCTTAATACTCTAGGTTGATGAAAAGTTCTAGACATGTATATATGCAATTAAAAAGGAATTTATCAATTAAATTATGTTATCTCTTTTAAATAATCATTATAATTTATAGCCATTCAAAAACATAGCACATTCATATTATCTATAGCAAATTTTGCTGAATGTACTAGAAATCCCTACAGCCCAAAATTTCAAACTGCTTAAAAAGTTTCATTTTAGTTAAGAGAGAGTTTTACTTCTTGTGTCACAATTTCACCTTGCCATTTGATTCCCTTTCTTCTTATTCATAGTTTAATACCTATATATTTTCTATTTACCCAACTTCTATAAGATTTTCATAAGAATAATAAAATTCTTGCCAAAGTTGTGGCATTCAGTGCTTCTATAGTTTATATTAGTTGAATATATTTGGCAATTAAAATGCACCCAAATGGTTAAAAACTGTGGAAAATCCCATACATCAATAGCTTTCAAAGACAAATGATGGAAAACTGCTCTAATGTTTCTTACGTTACATATGATAAAATAATTTGTAAATTAACTTTCTAAGCTCATAAGGGCTATAAGCTTAGGAAAAAGTGACAACCAGGAAGTAAATGTTTGCTATCATCTTATAATTTACCCATGCTTCTTTGCATTCTTTGGAGAAAATTCAAAGGCATCAAGTTGAGCTTCTAGCAGCATTTGTTCCCATAATTTGTCAAATTGGCTACGAAATATTTCTAAAATGAATTCAAAAGCTAAGAATACATAAACTTAGAATTCTCAACCCAGGCCACTTTCAACTTGGCCCAATGCTTTAGACCTTAGTATGCTTGATGGAGCTACAGAAAAGAAATTCTAGGAAATTTTAAGACATACTCAGGAGATGTATGAGAATCAAAAGGCCGATGATGAAGAAAAGCCTTTTCATCTATGGAAGATGATTTGTATTCATAGTATGCACTTTTGTGTTCCTTCTCCACATAGCCTGAAATGGTTCTTATTCTCTTCGCAACACGATCAACCCATCTGACACAAATAGTGTGTGAAAGAAGCTCATTTTCATTCATCTTTAAGGAGTATTTATTGAAATGGACAAGCTAGACACATTCAACATCTTTGAAGCCACAGTGATTCCTATTTAAAAACTTTAACCAAAATTAATTATCAAGTGTTTATTTTTTGTATCTACGAAATTATATTGAAGAATTCCCTAGAATATGAAATAACTTCTCTAGTTAGTTATTAGTTGCACATTTATTATATAATTCTTTATATTGTGATTCTAGGATGGTCTTTGTACAAGTATAAATAAGACTTTGGCCTTGTCATTTTGATGTAAGAGATAAAAGAAAAATATTAAATAAGTTTTTTTTCCTTTGTCATTTGCAATGTCATCCTCTTCTACTTTATAAATATTTTATTTCAAACAATTTGTACAGAGCCAAGTTCGAAGGCAAGTGGTTTGAATCAACAACTATATTGTATGGAAAAGGAGAATTATGGTTCATAAGATATTTGGGAGATTACTAAAAGTAAGTAAAAAGAAGGACAAGAAAGTGCTCTTCTTCATCTATCAAGCCTTAGATGAGGAATATTTTGAGAAAGTGGCTAGTGCATCCACCACTAAGCAATCATGGGAGATACTTCAAGTTGCATGTAAAGGCATAGGTAAGATAAAGAAGATTTGACTTCAAACTTTCCTAGCTGAATTTGAGGCACTTCAAATGAAGGTACCAAAAAATATGGAGGACTATTTAACAAGAGTCTTGACTATTTTTAATCAACTATGAAGGTACAAAGACAAATTAAAAGATATTCGAGTGATAGGAAAAAAATTTGCATTCAGGGCATGATAAATATGAACAAATTGTAGTAGTTATTGATGAAGTAAAAATTTAGAGACAATAATTGTTGGTAAACTAATGTACTCTCTAATGGCTTATGAGCAAAGGAAAAAAAATAAGAATAGAATACTAGCGAATAAGTTCATTAATTAAAGTTCTTATTAAACGATCGAAAAGATGGCATGCACGAATATGAAGATAATTAAATGCTCGATACATTTATGGTTAAGGCCGAGGTGGAGGTCACTATCATGATCTTGGTCATGTCTTTGGAAGAGGCTGAGGACGTGGATGAGGATGTGGAGAATATCAAAGAAATAATAAAGAAAGTCAAAACTCAAGAAATGAAGAATAGATGAAAGAACCAATAACCAAAGGAATAAAAAATCTCATGTTAATTACTATATTTGGAAGAAATTTGGTCATTGTGCTTCTAAATGTTATCATAATCAAGAGAAAGCTAACCTTGTTAACGAAAAAAAAGAGGATCAAGTTTTATTATTAGAAATAATTGAAACGAGAATAATATGAAAAAGAAAATAATTGACACTTAAATATTGGAGCAAGTAATCATATGTACGAGAATAAAGGCATGTTCATAGAAAAGGAGGCATGGAGAGTCAAATATATTTTGGCGACTCTTCAAAAATTTTGGTGAAAGGAAAAAAAGAAAAACTCTTATTCTTTTTAAAGATGGAACTCATCAGAAAAATTTTTTTTTTGTACGAATATGAAAATTAATATATTTTAAGCTTGGGGTATCCATATGAAGGATAAAAAGCTTACTATTAAAAATAATTTAGATGAATTAATTACCCAAGTGGGGATGAAAATTTATATAATATTTATTCTTAATATAAAAATAGTGACAAGAAATGTTTAAAGGCATGTGAGAAAGATCCATCATGGGTTTGGCACATGTGGTCAAGCATTTAAATTTTGGAGGTTTAAGTAATATGTCAGGAAACGTAATAGTACATGGGTTTCCAAATATCAATCATCAAAATCAAATTGGTGAACATTATGTATTTGGAAAGCAAACTATATATAAAAAGTTTTCCAAATGAAGTAAAATTTATAGCCAAGAAGCCTCTTCAATTAATTCATATGGATGTATACGGACCCATTGCTCTAGCACATTTCGATAAGCATCGATATTTCTTAACTTTCATTGATGATTTTCCAAGTTGGATCCCATCTAAATCCCTGGTATTTAAGGAAAATACTTTTTTTTTTTTTTTTTTGAAAGAAAACTCAAAATCTTTCATTCTATTTAAGAAGTTCAAAGCAGGTGTAGAAAAAGAAAATGAATTTTCAATAAAATTCATTTGATATGATCAAGGAGGCGAATTTACTTCTAAAGTATTCAAAGAATATTTTGAAGAACATGGCATTCAATATCATTTAAATGCACTTTTTTTACCCTTGAAAAATGGAGTAGCTGAAAGAAAAGATCGCACTATTCTTAATATGGTACGAAGAATGAATAAAAGGAAGAATGTTTTAAGATTTGTTTTATGTGGTGGTGACATGTGCAGTCTATACTCTCAATTGGCGCTCATCCTCAAGCTTACTAGATATGACACCACAAGAGGAATGGATAGGAATAAAGCCACATATCTTCATTTGAAGGTGTGTGGGAGCATTGCATATGTTCATGTTCTCGAACAAACAAGGATAAGC